TTATTATGCATCTGCTATGTTGCAGCCACTCTAAATGTCCGAGCAATGCCTATTAAATATGCAACTATGATCAGAAATATTTTCTGTGACTTATAAAGAAAATAAGTGAAAAGTTTGGGTTTTACAATTAGTGCATATCAATACTACTATTTTTGTCCGATTCTTTCTGTTTTCTGACACTGGAATGTATTCTCCTTAATCTCTCACATCTGGAGATACATGGTAAATAAGTCGCCCTGATGACTTGATTCGGGTGCTCACATTGTGACCCAGACATCCCTGCTGTGTGAAGAAGAAACTGGATGCCCAAGTTCTGAAAAGTAAGCCTCTTGCTTTCTGTATCCCAGCTACCCCAGGGACCTTGGAAGCTTACTCTTCTGCCACCTCAGTTTCCTTCTCAGTTACAGCTCTAATAACTTGCTCTTCTGCCTGCAAATGGATGGAGTTGTTTTGTTATTTCATGTTTCAATTGAGACGTCAACACCTTAAGCCTACAGTTAGAATATGGCCCTTGGTGATAGTAATGAGGTGGAAAAACTAATTGTAGTTTGGTATTTTTATGCAATTTAAAAAAAAATTATTCTGGCTGACATGTATTGTTTTCTGTGCACCAGCCACTATGCTAAGAACTGCTTCGTTAAATCATCCCATTAACCCTGAAAAGAGATAATTAAGAGCATAAACATCTTTATATCTTCATCAACTTCTCCTTCCTCATCTTTCTTTTCATCATCATACTCACCATTTTTAGTCAAAGAATTCAGAAACTTTAAACATGTCTTAGGTTATAAGACATCTCAGTGAAAAAGCTAGATTTGAAGACGGGTCTGAGTCCCCAGCCCATGTTTTCAGCCATTATGTAGCTTATTTGTAATTGCTCATCATTGCTGCTTCTGGACCTTTATTATCTTGTTGCTGGGATGAGACATCACTTCTCCTCCAAATAGGTCTGTATCATTAGCCAAGTCAAGAAGCACAGGTGTCTATAAATACAGATTCTAAATCTTTGCCTCTTTGCCCAGAATCAGTCCCTTCTCATGTTCACAGTCTCGTCTTGCTCTACAGGAAAGACATGGATCCAGCCACCAAATTTTGAAACAGTCATTTTAGCAAGCCATTGTATCAAAAAAGAGAAGGGGAAAAAAAAAAAAAAAGACCATCTATTTTTCTTGCTTTTGCAGGGAGGAATTACTAAGAAAAATAACTCTATCAAAACTCCAGCCTCTGAGTTGAATTGTATCAAGAAAAAGGAAGGGGGGATTTTAATCAAAAGGAGAGTCTGAGTTGCTTGATTAAAATTCACTGGCCATTCTATTTTAGGTCAGAGTTTTGTAAATCTTCTCAGCTTTCTGAATCTGAAACTGTTCTGTTCCTGAATGCCTTCATTTTTCAGAAGATCCAGACTTTCTGTATGCCAACAAGGAAGGGGGTGAAAACACAAGCTGGGAGTGTTGAATGGGAAGAAAGAGGAATGGGCATCAATCAGATGGAGCCTTTGGCCAGCAAAGTATTTGTATCAGCAAATGAAAATCTTATTCAAGATCCAATAAATGTAACTCATAAATGTTTAATCCACAAAGAAGAAAACAAATTTGATTTGAATTGGAAGGAAATTCTTTTGCCATGCACAGCAGTCTCTAGACATTCACAGATACGTTTATAGTTAGCAAGTTTGAATTTTCATAAATCCCTCATGCAATTTATAAGTCATTTTGAATATAATGATAGCATCACTTCACATCTTTATTCGCCAAACTTCTCAACAAGAAGATATACTTTCCAGAGCATGCTACATATCTGATTAGCGATGTGTCTTTAGATAAGATACAGCTTTTCTGGGCCTCAGCTGTAAACCTGGTTCATAATTTATGTATAACTGCATAGAAACCTTTCAAAGTATTGTTGAGAAGGGCTTGGTAAATGTTTTCTGTAAAGGGCAATGTAACAAGTACCGAAGGCTTTGCAGGGCATACAGTCTGTATCACAGCCAATGGTCTATGCCACTGGAGCCCGAAAGAAGACAAAGATATTGTGTCAAAAATGAACATAGCTGTGCTTCAGCTAAACTTTACAGACCCTGAGAGCTGAGTTTTGTATGATTTTCACCTGATGCAAAATACACTCCTTTAAGATTTTTTTTTAATCATTTAACAGCACATTACACTTAGAAGTATGAACAAAAAAGTCACAAAATTGTAAATGAAAAATTGAAAGTTGGGAACCAGCAGTTAGCGTAATGACTATGTCGCTGGACTCCCACGTAGTCGACCGCGGTTCGTGTCCCGGACCCGGTGGCTTAAAACTCACGTCGGGCGCGTGTGCGTGCGTGCCCAAGATCCCGAGAGGAGAATGGAGGAGAAGGGATTGCGGCGTGACCATGCCCCCTGGGGGGTGATTTCTCGCTTTCTGTCTCTATGTCTCTCTCTGTCTGTCTGGCGAGCGTACGCGCCCTACAGTGAAAATCTCTCAAAAAAAAAAATTGAAAGTAAAAACTACTAAAAAAATATTCTCAGATCATGTAAAATATATCTGGTACAGTTTATGTCTGAGTCCATTTCAAAATTAATAGAAAAATATTTTAATGAATGTCACTCTATAATATATCATGTTTTATCTACCTACAAATAATATTCTTATTTTAACCAAGAAGAAACACAAGGGGCTGGCCCCATACCATAATGGTTAAGGGAGCCAGATCCCACATGGCCAGCTACAATACAAATTCCAGTCCTGGTGGCTTTAGAAACATGCTTGGCATGTATGTGTGGGTGCCCAAATCTCAACAGGATGGAGAAGTGGAAGAGAAGGAATTACCATATGACAATACACCATCAATGGGTGTGTTCCCCTCTTTCCATCTGTCTGTCTGTCTGTCTCTGTCTCTGTCTCTGTCATTCTGATGAGCACATGGACCCTCTGGCAATTAAAGAAGAAGAAAGAAAAGGAAGCTGAAGAATAAAGCCTTAAATCTTTCTTTTTAATTAAAAATGTGACTTTCTTATCTTAGAGGACAAGGGATAGTGATAGCTCATTATAGAGTATGCATCAAGAAGTAAGCATAATGCTTTCATTTCAGTCTTTATTGTTAATTCTCCTCTCTTATGATATTTGTGGAAAATAGGTAATTTAAGAGTAGAGGCAAAATTAATTAATATATCTCTACAAAGGTAAAAGAATATATTTTGCAAATTTTCTACTATAAAAGGTGCTCATTTGAACTCAGCAAAGAACTTTCTATCTAATCACTGGAAAGAATAATTCCCAAATTTGGTATCTGGAAAAAATGTGAATCTTATATTATTCCAATTTAATTTGTGTGTATTGATTACCTCTTTTTGAAAAATTAATTTTGTTATAGAGTTCATGCACTTGCCAGAGACAGAGAGAGAGAAAATGAGACAGCACTTCTCAGGGAGCCATGGCCCCACCGCAATCCCTTCTCCTGCAAAAACCTCAGGATTGCACACACACATACCTGGTATGTTTTTCAAGCCTCTAGGTCCAGGACTTGAACTGCTCAGTTGGCTACTTGAGATCCAGCCATCTTAAACTTCATGCCACCAGCTGGTCACCTGATTACCTCTATTGTTTTTAAAGAATAATTTACTTTATTTCATTTGTTATTATTGTTATTTTTTAATTTGGCCAGAGAGAGATAAGCAAAGAGAAAAAGGGAAAGTGAGAAAGCAAGCTGCCAAGTCCAGGACTTGAACCACAGTCGGCCATGTGGGAGTCCAGCGCCTTAACCACCATACCACCTGCCATTACATGATTGCCTCTTTTAAGCTAGATATTATACTAAAGTTTTATGTCTAAAATCTCATTTAATATTCCACATGCCCTTTGTGGAGGTTCTAATGTTTCAAATTTGTAGGTGGGCAATAGGCCCAGAAAGGATCACTAACTCATTGCTAGTTCTTCACTTTTCTCCTCACAATGTAGAATACGAGCACACAAAGAAGAGGGAGTTAATATAAAAAGCAGCTAAGGAAAGAAACATGGTTGTGGGGTACCAGCTGTGAGCACGGCAGTATGGGAGACACCAGGCACATCATTCATCAATGGAGCATCTTCCCCAAGTCACTGAACACTAAATTTGGTCTGAGTCTCACAAGGTAAGCACATATTTTACCAAATCTTTAGCAATCTTGGAAATTAGAAGTCATAGCCTTTGTTTATCAAATAAGAACACTAAGACAGAAAGCCAGCACTCAAAGTCACAATGAAAGTAAGTACCAGGGTGCCAGTCAATGGCACGGTGGTTAAGGCACTGGACACTCCCAAATGGTCTACCATGGTTCAAGTCCCAGGCCTGGTGGCTTGCTTTCTCACTTTCCCTCTCCCTCTGTGTGTCTCTCTCCGGTCAAATTAAAATAAATGAATGAACAAATTTTAGAAAATTAAACAAAGAATTATTTTAAAAAGAAAGGGACAAAGTGCCAGTATCAAGATTTGAACTTGTGTTTATTTGATTTAAGAGACTGCTCATTTCATACCCACTGCCTCTATGCCATAGAAATGGCAGATTCCGTTCATCAGTTGTCTTCAGCTGCCTCTGCACATGTGTAACTCCTATTTCTTTTCACTCTGACAATGATAAGAAAGGAAAATGTTGCCATGCCTAGAAGGCACCCAGTTTTCTAATAATTTTGCAAATTGTTTTCTTTGTTTCAAAACTATGTCTATACTGGAGAGGCTATGAGCACTTGAAATGAGTTGGAAGTAGGTTTTTATTTGTTTGAAATTATTACGCCAGACTTCTCTGACATTTGCTGTTAATTATTCACTGGGAAATAGAGAAATATGTCAACACAACATTTGTCACTGGTTATTTAGAGGCTCAGGTTGACAGATCTTGGCAGAATCTTTGAAAGATGTAGCTGACATAGTTGCTTTTAGTCTTATTTATTTTATATTCCCAAGACTGTAAAGTAAAATAAAATCTTCAGCTGGTGAGATAGCTACTCACAACAGAGACAAATATTTTGGACAGGGTTAGCAGTCCTGCAGCTCTGATTGATGGAGTATGAGAACTTGATAGTTCCCCTGCTCCTGTGTCGTCTATCCCAGTCATCCCAGGGGACGGAAGCTGGTACATGTCAGGCCTGATGGGTTCCATGAGAAGTGAGTTGCAGAACAAGTGCGATCTTTAAATATGTCGTCACTGTGGGCGCAAGGTGAGTCCTCCTACATCTACTCATCCTCCAGGGCACAGGCCAAGCCACAAGATTTAAACTGAAGTTTGGACGGGACAGATGTGGACGCGTGAGACCTGTTCTGAGGCAGCTCCTTGCTGAGCTGCACCTTGTCCTCTCAGTGCATTTTCTGTGTTGGCTCTGCCGAGCGACTGGATCGGAGGGGCTGTTGGAAGATTCTGGAAGACCTGAGCACAAGTGCTGGCCTTCGCCTCGCTGACTGGGTTCATGTTACTCACTGGACTTGCTAGACTTAGAGATTTTTCTTTTCTTAATTTAAAAACAGGTGTTTCAGTGACTTACTGCTCTGCTCAAAACATTCTATTGGGTCGTTGGGAAAGTCATGATACATTTTTGCAGGAAAAAAACAGAAAAATATGTTATGACTTTTTGGGTGAACCAATGTTTCATTTATTCCATTAAAAATAAAATCCCAAAGTCCTTATCACTGTCCCTAAATTATTTTTAAAGTCCTTAATTAAATAGACCTATTATTTATTTTGTTCATCAGAGACAGAGACAGAGACCCCTAACAGGTTTGGCTACTCTGCAATTCTGCTCCAGTTTCCAGTGAGCCGTGGTCATGGCTACATCTCTGGGTTTACTTGGTGTCTTTGGCCTGTGCCCTGGGCTTTCCCATATGGCTGCAATCCCACGCAGTGACACCGGACAACTTGTGCCATGTCCTTAAACTCTTGCCTCTTGCCTAGGTTTTTTGTTTGTTTATTTGTTTGTTTGTTTGTTTGTTTGGGTTTTTTTGGAGAGGTTTTTCGCTATAGGGCGTGTGCGCTCGCCAGACAGACAGAGAGAGACAGAGAGACAGAAAGCGAGAAATCACCCCCCAGGAGGGATGGTCACACCGCAATCCCTTCTCCTCCATTCTCCTCTTGGGATCTTGGGCACTTACGCACACGCACCCGGCGTGAGTTTTAAGCCACCGGGTCCGGGACGCGAACCACGGTCGACTACGTGGGAGTCCAGCTCTTGCCTAGGTTTTTCCTTTTTTTTTTCCGCCTCACCCTGCCACTTCTCTCTTTGACCAACACTGGCCACCACACTCTTCCTGGAAGAAACCAAGCACATTCCACCGCAGCTTCTTTGTTCTGCTTCCCTTTCCTTCTGGACTCCTTTCCTCATCATTCATATACTCTCTTCCATTACCCCCATGAGGGGAGATCATTGCCTTCCACCCCTTTAAACTCTTTCACCTCCCCCAGCAGTCACTAATATCTGTGCTTCTTAGCAATATATAAGTCAGAACCAGTCCTGTAGCTTGGTGGGTAAGAGCATTAGATCCCGCAGGGCCAATCACAGTTGGAGTCCTGACTGGGGGCTTAAAAGCATGCTAGGCACTTGAGTGTGCAGGTCACAAATCCTGACCAGGGGAGATGGAGGAAAAATGACAGGGTGATCACACATACCATGTGCAGGCCTTTATCGATCTCTGCAAGTATACACATCATCTGGCGACTTATATATATATATATATATATATACACACACACACACACACACACGCGTGCGCGCATGTGCACACACACACACACACACGTACAGCTGGAGAGGAAGGCTGGGGTGATTTACATGAGTCCTCATTTATTATGGTGAAGAATCTGAACTTTATTTTGACTAGAGAAATGATCAAAGAGCATTTAAGCAGAAGAGTGGCATGCGCTGTCTGATTTATTTAATAGCTTGTGCTGGTAATAGTGGAAAGTGCATCAGAGGAACAGCAATAGGGGCAGTGGTGTCATTGCAGACACTCTGGGAAGTGGGGGCTTAAAGCATGGTCCAGCTCAGGTCTTACCTGGAGCCCAGGTGGAGGCCTGCAGAACCCTGTAAGGGAAACCAGCAGAGTCAGGAAGACTGACAGCTGCTGACTTTGCCTTTGGAACATGGCAGCTAGAATGAACTAGGAAGAAAGTAGCAGAGACAGAACGAACTAAGACTTCTCCTAACCTTGATTTTAATAAATTGGTAGTAGATACCTTCTTAAGAGAAAGGCGACTCAGCAGAGACAAAGCTCAAGTGGGTGACTCCAGAATCGGGCCACGTGCGGAAGGCTTGGTCAACTTGGAAGTAATCACATCAGAAACAGAAGACGACGTGAACACAACTTATATATATATATATATATATATATACACACACACACACACACACACGCGTGCGCGCATGTGCACACACACACACACACACGTACAGCTGGAGAGGAAGGCTGGGGTGATTTACATGAGTCCTCATTTATTATGGTGAAGAATCTGAACTTTATTTTGACTAGAGAAATGATCAAAGAGCATTTAAGCAGAAGAGTGGCATGCGCTGTCTGATTTATTTAATAGCTTGTGCTGGTAATAGTGGAAAGTGCATCAGAGGAACAGCAATAGGGGCAGTGGTGTCATTGCAGACACTCTGGGAAGTGGGGGCTTAAAGCATGGTCCAGCTCAGGTCTTACCTGGAGCCCAGGTGGAGGCCTGCAGAACCCTGTAAGGGAAACCAGCAGAGTCAGGAAGACTGACAGCTGCTGACTTTGCCTTTGGAACATGGCAGCTAGAATGAACTAGGAAGAAAGTAGCAGAGACAGAACGAACTAAGACTTCTCCTAACCTTGATTTTAATAAATTGGTAGTAGATACCTTCTTAAGAGAAAGGCGACTCAGCAGAGACAAAGCTCAAGTGGGTGACTCCAGAATCGGGCCACGTGCGGAAGGCTTGGTCAACTTGGAAGTAATCACATCAGAAACAGAAGACGACGTGAACACATAACTTAGAGAATGAAGACATAATATTGTTAAGGGGCTTTCCATTTCTCTTAGAGTGTTCCACAGGTCACTCAAGAGAAGTTAATTCTGCCTAGGGGTATTCATACATCTTACAATGAATAAAAGCAAAATATATAGTAGGAGTTTGTTATTGCAAAGACAGAGTAAAAGTGAAAACATAAAATCAGATGCAAACAATAGAGGCAAAGTTTGGGCTTCTCTTTGTTCTTCTGGACACAAGACAGGATATGTGGGTTATTGGGATTGATAATGTTGTATGTCTCCACGTGTTGGGGTCAAGGGAAAGAACATGCTCCAGTGGGCTGTGCTTGTCTACAGCAGCTCATCAGAAGTTAAAGAAAACCATGATGAAACAGGTGAGGTCACCATAATTGCATCAGTTAATTTCAGAATTTCTGTATGAAAAAATTATTTTGTAAAATCCAGAATCTGGTGTCTATGGCCTCATGTCTGCTTTGGTTTATTTTTTTTAAGACATCTCTACTCCTTTGTGTATCTGAAAAGTTGGCATGCATGGAAGAGGCATCATGTTCATTTCTTATAGTGAGACAGTGGGGAGCACAGAGGCACAGTAAGAAGAGCAGTGTCTATCACAAGGAATGTCCTTCCAAGTGAGGGCTGGTTGTGAAAACAATAGCTTTTCTTCAGTCATTGCAAGTTTTCAATAACTGACTGCTGCAGAGAATGTATAAGCCACATGCAAGTATCAATCAGTAGGCTGGAATTAATTATATTTAAGATAACCTGAAGGCTCTAGTTCTATGTATTTTCGCCATTGTTTTATTCATTTATTTGCATGTTCAGCCAGTATTTATTGAGGGCCCTCTCTTAATCTGCTCAGGCTGCCATAACAAAGTACCATACACTGAGCACCTTAAATAATATAGATATTTATTTCTTGTAGTTTTGGAAGTTGAAACATTCAAAATCAAGCTTCCAGCAGATTCAGTGTCTGCCGAGGGTCTTCTTCCCTGCTTATATACAGCAGCCTTCTCTGTGCGTTCCTATGATGGGTGGTTAATTTGGGGTGACATCCTGATTGGACTGAAGGATACCCGAAGACTGGTAAGGTATCCGTAATGTATCTGTGAGAGAGTTGCCAGACAAGATTGGCATGTGGGTCTGGGTGGAGAGAGGCGCACCTGCCTTCAAGGGGAGTGGGTCATGCAATCTGCTGGGAGGTGACAGGGACAGAGAAAGCGAGGTTCTGTTTCTTTTTCCTCTCTCTCTCTCTCGTTCTGCCTTTCCTTCCAGAGTGTGCTGCTTGTTCCACTTCTCCATCTTCTGCCAGCCACACCCCTGCTTCTCCACTCCGTCCTTAGCTGCATTTGCTCCTGCTGGTCCCTGATACCACAGGAGCATGTGACATCACTTTAGGAATGGGAGTAGAGAGAAAGGAGATAAAGCAGGAGGAACAGGGAACCAGCAGTTAGCATAATGGCTGGCACTGGACTCCCACGTAGTCGACTGCGGGTCAAGTCCCGGACCTGGCAGCTTAAAACTCATGCCAGGCACGTGTGTGTGTGTGCCCAAGATCCCGAGAGGAGAACAGAGGAGAAGGGATTGTGGCATGACCCCCTGGGGGGGCGTGATTTCTCCATTTCTGTCTCTCTGTCTCTCTCTCTGTCTGTCTGGCGAGCACACGCACCCTATAGTGAAAATCTCTCCAAAAAAAAAAAAAAAAAAGCAGGAGGAACAGTAACTCAACCCAAAAGAACGCACGTATACTGGCATGATAAGAATTGCACTATAGAAAGGGATTCTGCAGGGACAGAAAAGAGACGTAGACTTAACCATGTTCGGCGTGTAGTCACAGGAGTCGTGTTGACTGAGGGTTGTGGAGCCTGCTCCAGGATTGGGTAGTGTAGTGAGACTGTGTAACAGACTAAGCAGATGAGCACCTAAGCTGGGTCATGAACAAAGTCAGCACAGGATGAGCAAAACCAAAAGTGGTAGGTCTTGAGATTAGTGGTTCAGGATGGATCAATCAATTGTTGAAATCAAAATTCTAAGGAAAATACTTTGAAAAAAAAAATCAGGTAGGCCTTAAAATTAAGGTTACACAGAGGAAGCATTTTAGCGACAAGTTTTAAGCATGCATAAAGGTGAGAAATGACGGAGGAAAGGAGAGGAAGGTGGAGAAAATGAGATACCAAGGAATTGAGATGATTGTCTATGTAGCTAATGAAGAATGTTCTGTAAGGATTTTGATATTCAGCCAGGATGCTGTGGTTGGAATGGACAAGGTCCTTAAATAAAAAGCTCAATGAGCACCTGATCAGTGGAAGAAGAATCTACAGAGAGACTTAGGGAGAGAGAAGAGCAGAAAGGGTTCTGAGAGCATGAGAATGGTGTCAGATTCCATCAAGGGAGGGCTTAGTTTCCAGAAGTAGAAGACATGTGCATATATTAAACACGGAAACCACTTCCTTCTAGATAAGGACATTATTCTTGGTCCTTTCAGAAGGTTGTGTTGTCTCCGAGGAGAAGACTAGGGTATTAAGAAGAATGAGCTTTCCCTCTGAGACTTGAGTATGAATCACGGTTTAGCCACTTACTAGATATTTCAGAACAAATGGCTTAATTTGTAATATCTGTAATATTTTTTCAGTATGCTTGTAAAAATGAAATTAAATAAATGTATGCAGAGAATGCATGGCTAAGCATTGCATATCTAATACCTTCTGGGCCTTTTCCTTAGCACTTGAATCTATTTCTATCAAAAGAATAGAAGTGACTGGAGAAATATCACAAGTCCTACCACCAAAGGATAAACTAATATATTTACATATTCTTTATTCTTTCATCAAGCTATACAGGGTAACTACTGGATATTATTGCCAAATTAGACTCTGAGGACAAAAACACAAATTAAATGAGATTTATAGCCTCTGAATTTCCAAAACCTAGTGAAAATGTCTTGCCTACCTGTTTTGGGACAAATGAGAGATTTTATAAATGCGGCACTGAATTCCTGCCGTAACCCTTGTGCAGAATTCTAGGTTGTACCTCATAGCTTTGGCTCCAGAATACAGTTACCCGGTAGAACTCTCCATGGTGACTGAGATGCTCACAGAGAATATTTTGCTACTGAGCTCCAAGGCAACGGAAAACAGAATTTATTTTATTTTAATTAATTAAATTTTATTGTTAGAAATAGCACATGAGTGGTCACTGTCGTATTGGACAGAACAGCTGGAAAACTTGAGTCTCCTCTATCTTGATGTGAGCTCTTGTTTGTCATTTTTATCTTAAGGTAAAGAAAAGCAAAAGGTGACATCAAATGAAGAAAACAAAATTACTTCCAGAGAATCATACTTGGCACTCCTTTTTTCTTTCAGTGATGTCTTTTTGTTTTTAATAATTATTTATTTAACGTTATTTATTTATTTGTCTTAATTTGACCAGAGATGGACAGAGTACGAGAATGAGAGTGAGAGGGAGGGAAAGTGAGAAAGCAAACTGCCAGGTTCAGGACTCAGACCACAGTCGTCCATGTGGGAGTCCAGTGCCCTTAACCACCATGCCACCTGTCAGCCCCCAATGGTGTCCTAAACAGATTTGAAGCTGTCAAGGCCTGTGTTCATTGACATTAACAATACAAATCTTGGTTATGTGTAAAAAAAAAAAAATGAAAAAAGAAACAGAAAAAAGAAAAGAAAAATAAGAGGTCTTGGTTATTGAATGTTGCAAAGGGATAAGTGAAATAAGCCCTAAACCAAGAGTTATTTCTAGAAATCAAAACTTATACAAAAACTAAAGCGGGAACCAGCAGTTAGCGTAATGGCTATGTCGCTGGACTCCCACGTAGTGGACGGTGGTTTGTGTCCCGGACCCAGTGGCTTAAAACTCACACCAGGTGCGTGTGCGTGCGTGCCCAAGATCCCGAGAGGAGAATGGAGGAGAAGGGATTGCGGCATGACCATCCCCCCGGGGGGTGATTTCTCGCTTTCTGTCTCTATGTCTCTCTCTGTCCTGCAAGCGCACGGGCCCTACAGTGAAAACCTCTCAAAAAACAAAGAAAACAAAAACAAAAAAACCCCAAAGCATTGTACTGTAAGATTCCAACAATCCAAATAATGAAAATATTTAAAGAACTAATTATTTCTTTTTCAGCTGACTCAGTTTCATGGCAGCATCCACTGGGTGAATGCTGTAGAGCTGAGGCATCAAAGCTTTTCCAAATGTAGAGCACAGGTGCAAATGCAGAGTGGCCCAGGCCCAGCACTCACACAGGTTCTCAGCAAATTACAGACAGCTGATCGCATCAAAGAGAACGGTGAAGGTGAGATGTAAATTTGAATAGATGACACCTTCTGTTTTAATAACACTAGCAAGAGACATGACTTTCCTGAAGTATGAACTTAATTGCATTAAATTTAAATTTTCTTTTGTACTGAATTTACCACAGATTCCGTGTTGAATACTTTACTACCTACTTCAAAAAGAAAAGCAAAATAAGAATGTTATCATTTTGTTTCATGTTATCAACAAAAATATATTGATCATGTACTATGTGCTGAATATTGCTAAGTTGTGCAGATGAAAATTCACATACTGCTTATTTTCTCTCCCTAAAAAGCTACATGTGCAAGAGAGGGAAGCAGGTAAAGAAATGACTACTCCGTAGTGTGCTCTGAGCACAGGAGATGTGGGAGTTCACAGGAGAGAGCTGGGGTGGGCAGAAAGTGTCATGAGAGCGGTTTCCTATGCAATGCAATTCCCTAGTACATTCTTTTTTAGAGGTTTATGCTATAGGGCGCGTGCGCTCGCCAGACAGACAGAGAGAGACAGAGAGACAGAAAGCGAGAAATCACCCCCCAGGGGGGAAGGTCACGCCGCAATCCCTTCTCCTCCATTCTCCTCTCAGGATCTTGGGCATGCACACACATGCGTCGGGCGTGAGTTTTAAGCCACCAAGTCCAGGATGCGAACCGCGGTCGACTATGTGGGAGTCCAGCGACATAGCCATTACGCTAACTGCTGGTCCCCCTTAGTACATTTTTTTAAAGTCGAACTAGTTGAACCTTGCCAGACACATGGTCCGTGGGCAGGAAATTCAGCACAGACACGGTGACACGTGCACCAGGACACATCTCCGTTTTAGCAAGTGGTTTGCAGCGTGTGGCAGGAGAGACTGTGGAGCAGCAGGAAATGGAATTGCCAAAGCAAGGGTGGGGCAGTAAGGATATGAAGAAGTAAGTACGCTTTGAAATCTTGCATTTTTTTTGCAGGAAAAAAAATAAATAAAAACTAGCATGGGAATTGATATTTTACTCTGGAGATTTAGAGTGGAGGCTGCAGCAGGGCAAAACAAGGCCTAAGACAGAAAACTCAAGTACTAAGAAGAGACGAGACATGCATAAGGGATGAAGGGAAGGGCGCATTGAAAAAGACATATAAGAGGTAGAAATTAGGAGATTTGATGACTATTTGGTGATTATTTGGAAGTTTATAAGGGAGAAATCAAGAAAGATACTCAGATGTCTGATTTTGTCGGTTGGATTCAAGATAGGGGGTTTGCAACAGAAACCTTTCTATAGAAAATCTGTGTTTCCTTCCTCCCTCCTCTTTTCCCTCTCTTTTTTCTATTTTTCTTTCCTTCCTCTCCTTTTTTTCCTTCTTTTATTCAGGAACTCAAGGCCTTTAATATTACTATTGTCGTGGTTGCATAATGATGTTTTGGTCAACAATGACACATGTCAGTGGTCCCATAAAACTACAATGGAGCTGAAGATTCCCACTGCCCAGAAATGTCATCACCGACAGATGACATTCGCTTAATGCATTGCTACTTATCGTGGGGATGCTGTTGTAAACTGGCCTGCAGGCTGCTGGGTATACAGAGTACAGCATGCACAATGATGTGAGTGCAGAGTTTCCACTCAGCCTGTACCACAGGCCGGCACTCTGTGGCAGAAATGGAAATATCTGAAGATAAGATAGAGAGGATAAGAGCAGATACCAGAGACTGTCAGGGAGGAGAGTGGGTGGTAGAGGGCCTGCAGGGGCAGCCAAAGGGAAGAAACATTTGAAAGACAAAAGAATGTAAAGTTCTCTGTTAAAAAAACCATTTGTAGCTAAGTGATATATGTAATTGAATATATCAAAGAAATTTAAATTAAATTAAAAATAAAAAATAAAAGTTGTAACTTTTGCTTTATAAAAATAAAAATTAAAAATAAATACAAAAAATACTTTGCTATAAAACAGCATGATGTGTTTTAGCAACTTTTAAGGCCTTCAGCTTCTTGTCTAAAGAAGAACTTTGCCTCAGCTATTGCTGAAAGTGAGGGAGTCACTGACTTGCTCTGATACGATCCGGAAGGATTTCGGTGTGTATGACTGCATCTGGACCTATGCTGGCTATGGGAGAAGATACACTAGAGGTTCACCCATGACTCTCCAGCGTCTGCCAACGAGGATGAGGTTGCACAAATCAAGCCTGTAATATACCTGGGTGTGAGTGAGGCTGACAGTGGGGGGCTCCTAGCGTAGATCTCCTAGAATTGACCAGTGAGGAGTTGGTGGGACTGGAACAGAAATGCATATCTGAACAAGAAGAGAGAAAGGGAAACTTTAGGGGGAAAAAGGAAAAGAATTTCTAAGGAAATTCACAGAAAAGCATTTAGCAGAGCTTTTGTAGACCATGATGTGCTCCCTAAACTGTGTGAAAACATGGACCCCTAACTCTGAGAGGTCTTCATTAGTAGGAGGGAATGTTCGTGATGCATTATCTGCTCACGAAGAAAGCTGCGATGAAAAAAAGAAAGCCAAGCAAAGCACCATGTGCGTATTTGTAAAAAGAGTGACAGCTGCAAAGAAGAGCCTCAGGAGGTCTTTCAGAAGGTTCCAGAAGGAGGCTGTGTTATCGCAGTTGATGACAGCATCAAGTGTGTCATTCCCCCAAAGACATTCCAGCAGAACAAGATTTAGAGGCAAAAAAATAAAAAATGATATGAATGATCCTGACCCTGATTAGGCTAGACTAATGTGTCTTAGTCTTTAACCACGAAATTTAAGAAGTAAAAATAAATTTAAAGAGTTTAAAAAGAGGGGAAAAGCTTATAGAATAAGGATATAATGAAAAAAATTTATACAACTGTACAATATATTTGTGTCTTAAGCTAAATTACAAAAGTGTCAAAAGTTAAATGAAATTTAAAATTATGTGAAGAAGTTATAATAAGCTAAGATTAATTTATTATTGAAGGGGACGAGGAGGTTGCATGATGGTTAAGGCGCTGGATATTCCCACATGGCCGACCATGGCTTGAGTCCCTGACCTGGTGGCTTTCTCTCTCTCTCTCTCTCTGTGTGTCTCTCTCTTTCTGTGTTTGTGTGAATGTATGATCAAGTTAAAATAAAACGAATAAATAAAATTAAATAAATAGTTCTAAAAATGTTATTATTGAAGAAAAACAATGTCTTCACACATTTGGTGTAGCCCAAGTGTACAGTGTTTATAACGTCTACAGTCAGGTAGGGTAAAGTCCCAGGTCTTCCCACTGACTCACCACTCACCCATTAATTCACCCAGAGCAACTTTCAGTCATGCAAGATTCCTCCCCAGTAAAGGTCTTTATAGCTGTACATGCTGCCTTTTACATGGTGTTTTTCTAGGTTCAGATATGCGGGTACTACCCACCACGTTACAGTGGACTGCAGCTTTCAGTACAATGCATGCCATGCTGTGTGGGTGTGTAGTCCGGGAGCAAATCAGCCAATGCACAGTCTAGGTGAGCATCATCTGGGTTTGGGTAAAATCTTCTATTATGTCCACACAGCAATCAGATTGCCTAACAGCACATTTCTAAGGACATCTTCTAGTCCTTAAGAGATAAATGACTGTACTTTTGCTTTTTACTTGAGGATCCATGACTATAGTTTTGCATTTTCTTTGAGGTGTTTAGGTAAAGTCTTAGAGATATGTGTCTAGGGGACTTCTGAGCATTTGAGAAGGGCTGATAAAGAATATCATGACTGGAAATGTCTTTGAGACAATTCCAAGATGTCCAAGCTGTGGAAGTTTAGCA